ATTGGGCATCACCATCACGTCAAACTGCTGGGGCCGGGACACCAGCTGGGCAGGAAGGGGTTAATGGGGTTACTGGGAGCACTGGGAGCACTGGGGGGGAATTGGGGAGGGGGACACGGCCGCACCTGCATGGTGGTGTTGTCCACGATCATGTTCCGGAACGTGATCTCGGGGTACTCGGCCGCCACTTCCCGGCAGCACTGCAGGAACAGCCCGTCCCCCAATTTCCTGTGGGATTGGGGGGATTTAATCCCAAAAAAATCTGGGATAACCCGGGGATCCCCCCCAAAAAAGTTTGGGATACCCCTAAGATCCTCCCTCAAAAAATCCAGATCCCCCCCAGCACTGCAGGAACAGCCCGTCCTCCAATTTCCTGTGGGGAGAAGGGATTTAATGGGATTGACACCCCCAAAAAATCCGGGATAACCCTGGGATCCCCCCCCAAAAATCTGGGATATCCCTGGGATCCTCCCTCAAAAAAATTCCGGGTCCCCCCCAGCACTGCAGGAATAGCCCATCCCCCAATTTCCTGTGGGGAGAGAGGATTTAATGGAATTGAGACCCCCAAAAAATCTGGGATAACCCTGGGATCCCCCCCAAAAAATCTGAATAACCCTATGATCCTCCCCAAAAAATCCGGGATAATCCTGGGATCCCCCTCAGTGCTGCAGGAACAGCCCATCCCCCAATTTCCTGTGGGGAGGGGATTTAATGGGATTGAGACCCCAAAAAAATCTGGGATATCTCTGTGATCCCCCTCAGTGCTGCAGGAACAGCCCGTCCCCCAATTTCCTGTGGGATCGGGGGGGTTTTAATCCCAAAAAACTCTGGGATAACCCTGGGATCCCCCCCAAAAAATCTGAATAACCCTATGATCCGCCCCAAAAAATCCGCGATAATCCTGGGATCCCCCTCAGTGCTGCAGGAACAGCCCATCCCCCAATTTCCTGTGGGGAGGGGATTTAATGGGATTGAGACCCCCAAAAAATCTGGGATATCTCTGTGATCCCTCTCAATGCTGCAGGAACAGCCCGTCCCCCAATTTCCTGTGGGATCGGGGGGATTTAATCCCAAAAACATCCGGGATAACCCTGGGATCCCCCCCCAAAAAATCTGAATAACCCTGGGATCCTCCCTCAAAAAAATTCCTGATCCCCCCCAGCACTGCAGGAACAGCCCATCCCCCAATTTCCTGTGGGGAGGGGATTTAATGGGATTGAGACCCCCAAAAATATGGGATAACCCTGGGATCCCCCCCCAAAAAATCTGAATAACCCTGGGATCCCCCTCAGTGCTGCAGGAACAGCCCATCCCCCAATTTCCTGTGGGG